AGAAAGAAAGAAAGAAAGAAAGAAAGAAAGAAAGAAAGAAAGAAAGACCAGAACCTGGGTCTAACTGAAGCCTGCTCTGATCCATGCAATAGTCAGAGGCCTCATCCCCAAGGAGCAACAGTGGCACATGGGTCTCTTCTCCCTGTTGAAAATTCTAGGGCATCCCATGTCTGGTTTCTATATCACCACACTCCATTTTTAGTTTCACAGACAAAACACCTACCCATGTTTAACCCCCATTTTCTATGAAAAGGAGTATCAATAGTCAGGACTTTCCCCAAGCAAAGGGGCTTATCAAAATCCATAAATGAAGGCCACTACCTTCAAGGGAGACAGAAAGAGGGATCTATAATTTTTGTGCTGGCAAGCCAGCTTAGGAATGTGAAAGTAGAAAATGGTTTTTATTGAGATCTTGGCCCTGGGAGCCAGAAGACCTTTTTCTCTGGGAGTGGAAATGAAATACTCCTTCTGAACCTCATTCTGCTTTTTAACAATGTGGGGAAAACTTAACCTCCCCAGGATACTAAAATACTGAAAGATGTGGACTAAAAGCTTTTGGGAACAAGATTCAATTTCTAAGAATCCTTTTTTTTTTTTTTTTTTTTTTTTTAATTGTCTTACAGAGGTGGTCTACAGCTAAACCTGGAGCCACCTGGTTTCCTGTCAGTCCCACAGTTCACTACCTCCAGGGCATGACCACGCCTACCTCGGGTCCCCCTTCTGCAATCAGCACACAGAATCAGAAAAAAGCATTTCCACCATGGATCACTCCCTAGAGGAATTTGTTTGAATTCTGGAAATGTTCTGGGTTGGCTGCTTGAATCTTGATTATTCAATTTTATAGATTCTTGCCTCTATGAACTCATTCTTTTTGTGACTTTTTAGGTGAATTTTTTCTATAGGATCAGCCCCCTTTCAAGAATGAGATACTCTAACATAACCTGCACATATCTTAACAATAATTACATTTTCAGTCTAAGCAATAAAATTAACTCAGTTAAATGAGTTTCGGTCATGCACCATGTACTGGCTGAAGTGTTGTAGAAAACACTTCATAGTGTTGGTTAACTATAACAAACTCCTTTCTCTCATGAGCCTTATAGGGATTTGTTCCCCACTTCCCTAATATAATCAACTTTGGTTTGGGAGATGGGAGGTGGGGGCTAATATCAGAATTTATAACTTGATGTTTGACATCATATCTAAGCCCTCCACACTGCTGGACCACTCTGACAATTTCTCTCCACACAAAGCATTCAAGTCCAAGGAGAATAGCTAGGGGCATGAGGAATCTACTGGCTGGGTTATCACTAAGCTCAAAGCCTTGGGACTTTGTTTTCCACAATCTACAATGATAGAACTGGAGAAAAACAACCAAAACTCTATGTACAAAGAATTGCTGATCTCACTGAAGCCATTGCATACCAAAGTGGAAATATACACTAACCTGTAATGGCTCAAATCTAAACTATTCCCAGCATTTCCCCACCCCACCCCCTTCCTTGCCACAATGCTCTTCTCTTATTAAGGGTCAGGAAAAAAAGGTCAGACAGAACTGCTAGCTGGTTCTACTTTTTTTTTTTTTTCTGGCCCAATATCTGAGCCATTTCTGTAGGAGCTCCCAAACTACAGCCCCCTTTGTTCCCTGTTCTCCTCAATTACTGATTTTACTTGGTTGGTGGTCAAAGCCTTTGGGATGTTTGGATCTTGCACCCATTGCAAAAGGCAGTCTCCCATCCTCTCACCAACAGTGGCTGAAGAGGCAAAGAAGATTACCTGAAGGGGCACTGAGGCATCAGAGTTATCAAAACCATCTGGGCTTTGCACTCTCTGCTGCCAGGACACCCCCAGCTGGACCCAGGAGGACCAGGCCCCTGTCCCACTAGTTAGGGAGCATTCTTGTGCTCACATGCTAACTGGACACAGCTGGTTCAGGAACAGAGCTTCTGATCAGAGAGAATGCAGTCATGAGGTATTTTTTTTCTTTGTCCTTTTAGACAAGTCGATTATTTCAAGCCTAAGTTACCAGGACTCCAGGAGCAGCACAATTTTGTTCCTACCTCTAACGTCCCGTCCACTGACCAGCCCTGGGACCCTCACGGCTCCCCATTTCCTTCTTCCTTGCACCCCCGTGCTGTGCCACTGCTCTCCTGACAAGAGGCCATCAAGCAGCTCTTAATGAGCCCCAGGGCCCTTATCAAGGTGGGCTGCCCCATGTGGTCAGGCATCTGTTCCTTTCGTTGTTTTGTTTTCAGCCAACACTAGAACAGAGAGAAGCCAGGATCAACTCACAAACAGATACAAAGCAAAGAGACAGAGAGACAGCGATTTAGAGGCCGGTCACCAGAAAGACGGCTTCAGGGTGGGAGAATGCCCCAGATGGCAAGGCCCCTAAATGGATGGAACCAAGTGTTCAGTCACTCTCTCACGCTTGGGTAGAATGTTTGGTTGGATGGCGTTCACGTGGACACTGGGGTAGGTGGATACCCTCCAATCAGTCCCAGCCATTGTCCTTGATCATGTGTGCTAGCTCAATGATGTATTTGCCTTCTTTATATTTCTGGCTGCTTTCAAAGGCATGTTCCTAGGAGACACAAAGGAAGAGAAAAGACACCAAATGACCAAAGACAAGTAGGTGATTTTTTTTTTTTTTTTTTTGGAGCACAGGAGCAAAGGCAGGTCAATGACAGGGATCAGGACGAGCTTCAGCCAGACTCACTGGGAGAATTCCCACCATGCAAACGTGCCAGGTCGCCTTCACTTAATACAGTTCTGAGGCAGCACCAGGACCTTCTCAACATTTACAATGGAGTTTAAATACTTTGCAATTTAAATGTTGTAAGTATTTTCTCAATATTTACTACAGAATTTCTTCAAGATCTATGCTCATTTAAGTCTTTGCCCAGGGGCGCCTGGGTGGCTCAGTCGGTTACTTGACTCCTGATTTTGGTTCAGGTCATGAGATCAAGCCCCATGTTGGGCTCCACAGTGACAGTGAGGAGGCTGCTTGGGATTCTCTCTCTCTGCCCCTCCCCTGCTCGCACTCTCTCTCTCTTTCTCTCAAAATAAATAAATAAACTTAAAAAAAAAAAGTCTTTGCCCAAATGTCACCATCTTAGTAAAATCTTTCCTGAATATTCTACTTTAAAAGCACAACTTCCACCCCAGAACTCTCTCTTCCCCCATCTCTTCCTGTTTCATTTTTCTCTATAGCACTTATCATTCTCAAATATACAATATAACCTCCAGGCCTATTTTACATATTATCTCCCATTACTACAACATAAATTACATGGAAGGCAGATATTTTCATTTATTTTGTTCAATGCTGTGTCCCTTGTGTTTAGAAGACTGCTTGCCATATAATAGGTCTTCAGTAAGTAACTATGGAGTGTGTGTGTGTGTGTGTGTGTGTGTGTGTGTGTGTGTGTGTAAAATCTGAGGGGAACTTGGTTTCAGATGCTAATCGGAAATCTGCTCTAAGGATGATGTATCTATGAAGTTTATGTGTTATAATTCTCAATTGTACTTTGTTACACTTAGAGAAAAGACACTCAGGGAGAGACCAAATTATGGTGAAGTCAAATAGGTCTCTTTTTTATTTATCTTTCTGTTTCTGTGTCATGTGTGTTAAGTCTGTTTTTCCTTCACTGCCTTTCTCTAGGGAGAAAGGAGCTATGTGAACTCCAGGTTGAAGAACCCAGCAGCCCTCAAGCCCCCACGCCCACCCCCCCCCCGCCCCCGCACCCCAGCTGCCAGGCTTCCGGAGGAAAAACTCAATATAAACCACCTGGCCAATTACCATCCTAAATTTACGGCACTGTGGGTGGGCTCCCAGGCTAGTAAGCCCCATAAGAAGAAAAAAAAAGCCCTGCATAGGTATAGGATCAAAGAGATATTTTATTGACAGGCATAGATGAATAAAAATATCTCAATGTATTATCAGAAAAACACTGGTCATCACGGTCATTATGGCTAAGTTTGGTGTGCAGAAACAGTGGATATCAGCTGCTGTTCTGAGTATTCCAAATTAGTAAGTAGCTAAACCCTACTGTCCATAGGTTCTGGGCAGCATGTGTATGAACTATATCTTCTGTCCTAGAGCTCCAGGGATTTGGGTCCCAGAATGAGAGCTCAGACTTGAGTCTCTTGCTGAGAGAGGAATCATTCCACAAAGTGGAGAGGGGAGAGGCCCTGAGAGAGAAAGTGCAAACACATCACACACATGCAAGAGCTGTGGGCTCAGCAGTAATTTCCCTGACACTTCATTATTCCTTGACTCCGTGTGTGTGTGTGTGTGTGTGTGTGTGTGTGTGTGCGCGCGCGCGCGCGCTGTGTGATGTGTACACAATAGAGGAATGTGGTTCGAGAATACGACCTATTGTTCCATGGTAGCATGTTCAGGGTAGGCGGGAGGTAGAAAGAAAACTAGGAAAGTAAGACTATATCTCTATTGAACAACAACAAAAAAGCCAAAAGAAAAAAACATTTAATAGCCCCCAAGCCACAGGGCACTTGCAAAATGTCATAACTGGATTCCAGGGGACAGAGTACTAGATCTGAAGTCTACAGAAACCCCCAGACCTAACCCCATTTCTGTTTCCTGGCACCAGAAGCATCACTTAACCACTTTTGTTTATGACTGAGAACTTTCCATTTATAAGACTGGGATAAGTGAAAGTACTTCACAGGATTACTGTGAGGGTGAGAAGAAATAATGGAATGAAAGCTTGGAGCACCAGCCTGGGACATGAGAGGTAATCAATAAATATTTGGGGAGATGAATGCTTCTCTATATCGTTCTGTGATATCACAATACTTGTCAAGCTGTTTTATGTCTACCTGTAACTTTCCTCTTTCATATGATGACTGTAAACACCCCTGAGGGTAAGGATTAGATCTCATTTACTTTTGTATCCAACACAAAGGCTTTTAATAAACCTTTGTCAAAGGAGTGAATCATTTTATGCGAAGTAAAGAGCAAAACCAACTAACTCAGATTTATCTTCTGTCTATAATCCTGCACATCTTTAATGGAATAAGATGACAAAAAAGGTTGGGAAAACAGAAGGGCAGAAAATTTCTAGATCCTCAAAACCAGAACTGTGGCTCCTAGATTACCCAGAGAGGGCCAGTGGCCATGCAGGGGTAACAGAATAGCCAGGACCAGTTTTTCCCACAAGGAGCAAATCAAGGCAACTGTAGGGATCTGTGACCATCTTGCCATCATGAAACATACCATCTAGGATCCTTCTTTCTAATTCTGAACATTTCAAGGGAGATGTGAAAGATGGAATCTAGGGGTGCCTGGGTGGCTGAGTCAGTTAAGTGTCTGACTCTTCATTTTGGCTCAGGTCATGATCTCACAATTGGTGAGATCGAGCCCTGAGTCAGGCTCTGTACTGACAGTGTAGAGCCTGCTTAGGATTCTCCCCGCCCCCCTCCCCTGCCTCTCCCCTGCTCATGCTCTCTCTCTCAAAATAAACTTTAAAAAAATATTTTTTAAAGTAAATAGACTTCATATTTTTAGAGCAGTTTTAGATTCACCGGAGAAGGCAAGGAGGCTTTCCCTGTATTCCCGGCTCCCCCTAATGCACAGCCTTCCCCAAAGTCCTGCAACCTACAACTGCACTCTGCAGGAACTTCTGACCACTCCTCCAGGCTCTTCCAAAGCTAACTATTGTCTAACTAACTGCAGGTCATAGGAGCGAGCTTCACACTGACCCTGTGCAATTTACAGTACAGGGAATTTATGGCATTTTACATGGAATAAATTGTCCTCCCAAAGACAGGAAGACTCATTTCTCAATATTCCCACAATGATAGGGCAGAAAAAAGCACATGAACATATTTGCCAATAATAAAAACATCTGCCAAAAATAGCAATAGCACAAGTTTATTTTCATTGAACATCTATACCTCCTCTCACCCCGGTGAAGTGCTCATCCTAAGTACCAACAAGATGTTAAAAATATTTGTTGAGGGGCACCTGGGTGGCTCAGTCAGTTGAGCATCATCTGATTTCAGCTCAGGTCATGATCTCATGGTTCATTAGTTCAAGTCCCACCACTTTGGCTCAGATCATGAGTTCATGGTTCATGAGTTCAAGTCCCATATTGGGTACACTCCTGTCAGCAGGGAGCCTGCTTCAGATCTTCTGTCTGCACCCCCCCACTCCAACTCTGTCCCTCCCCGACTTGCACTCTCTCTCTCAAAAATACATATTTAAAAAAATACTTGTTGAGTTAAACAGCAAAGGAATGAACGTCTAGTAGGAAAAGTCCATCCATGACTATATTTGACAGTGGACATTAATTAACATGTTTGAGGATACCTAGCATAGAGCCTAGGGCCTGGGTAACATGTTCTGAGAACATTTACTGGAGCAAAGAGCATGGGCTCCACAGTCAGACTCCTGGACACCTATATCCTGGTTTGGCCACATAACGGCTAGGTAACATTAGATATACCATTAACCTCTCTAAGCCTCAGTTTCCTCATCCATAAAATAGGGATTAAAATATGAACTACTTTCGGGGCGCCTGGGTGGCGCAGTCGGTTAAGCGTCCGACTTCAGCCAGGTCACGATCTCGCGGTCCGTGAGTTCAAGCCCCGCGTCGGGCTCTGGGCTGATGGCTCAGAGCCTGGAGCCTGTTTCCGATTCTGTGTCTCCCTCTCTCTCTGCCCCTCCCCCGTTCATGCTCTGTCTTTCTCTGTCCCAAAAATAAATTTAAAAAAAAAACGTTGAAAAAAAATTAAAAAAAAAAATATGAACTACTTCCTAAGGATGCTGTGAATATAAATAGAATAATGTATGTCTGGGACACAGTAAACTGTCAGGAAATGGTATATGCTGCTATTATTATTATTATTATTATTATTATTATTATTAATTAAATTGAAAAGCAGGTGTGTGTGTGTGTGCGCGCGCGCACGTGTGTGTGTTTGTCTCAGGGGCAGGTGTGAAGGAATGAGTAGAAGGGGACTATCAGAGAAAAGGGAAGAAGAGTGTGGTAGACAAGAGTGTGCTAGGAGTTGCTCTTTGGGCCCAGTTTCCTGTCCTGGACTAAGATAATCCCACAAGGCCATAGGAAGACAGTGGAAGAAAGAAATCTTTTAGCATGAGGCTCTCCCTTCCTCCCTCTCACTGCCAACCAGACTCCTCAGTACTTACATATTTCCAGCCCAGAGTGGTTTTGCAGTTTTCACAGTAAATGTCTGCAACTGCATGCAATCCTGTTAGCAACACTCGCTCTTCTGCAGGCCCGCAGCCCACATTAACTCTGTGCCAAGGGACAGAGAGAACGGGTAGTTAGTCACACATTCATCATCAGTCATTCAAGCCGAGCTTGCAGCAAAAAAAGAAAAAAAACAACTGAGCACAGATGCCTCAAGAGAAGCCAACACTAAGAAGGGCATCATTTAAGACTGAGAGTGGTAACAACCCTGAAAAGGTAACCACATGGAAACATCACCATTGAAATGATTTTGAGATCTGCAAGTTCTGAATCAGTGAGTCTATGAAAAATAGTCTTCATGGTTGAGACTTTGCTTGGAATGTTTCTAACTAATGCTTCTAACCCAAGGGGACAAACAGACGGCCACACTGTGAAGACCATGAGCTGAGTCCTCAGCTCAGAGCTTACTGAGGACTGAATGCAGCCAAACATGGCAACATGACATCAGCACCATGTTGTCCCAATTACAAGGATGAACGAGCCCCATATTATCTCAAGCTGAACATGCTAGATTTCCATTCTCACAGTTTATCAGGCTTGTGTGAGCTTCACCCTCCTTTCCCAAGTAAGAGGCTATGAATGATGTGCCCAGCAATGATGGAAGGCCCTACAGGCTGCAGTCAAGGAGACTCTTCACTAACCGCGCCTTTCCTCTAGCCTGAGCTCCTGCAGCAGACATCGGGGTCTGTTGTTTGACCTCCCCTCTTCTCCAATGACTCATGGTTATGACCCGGTTATGACCATGGTTAGACCTGGTTATGAAGCCTCCATGATGAGGCTCTCAGAATCACTTCAACTTCTTCTCCGTGAGACTATATAGCCCTCCGATCCTCTTATGTGCTTACTATGGGTAGTAAATGTATACTTTTTAGCCAAAGATGCTGCAAAATTATATATATATATATATATATATATATATATATATATATATATCCACAAAGATAACTGGCTTCTAATTGTAGAGAATAATGTTCCACAGGGCTTTTATTGTGGCAGAGAAGGCAGAGCCCAGTGTTGAATTAACACTGAGGGCTGCTTTTCCCCCACCCTGCAAAATTTGCACCAAACAACGGATGTACCATTCAGAGACACTTACACTGAGTTAAAGAGGTATGCTCGTCCTTGACTTCCTTGGAACGACTGAAATGCAAGAAAACAAATCGATAGTTAGATATCCATTTCACCCACCCATTTGGGAAACCAGCCCCAAATCACAACAATCATGACCTTCCAGGACTGACACAGCAAAAAAAGAGCACTGAGCCATTTAATAGTCCAGCTGGCAGACAGCATGGGGGAGGACATGAGGGCAGAATAAACAGAGCTAAGAGTTTGGGCCAGCCCACACTTGGACTGTTTTCACTAGCCCAGGTGAGGAGATACAAAAACCAAACTCCACAATAGAATTGAAAACTTCTTCCCTCCTGACACCATCTGTTTTATTAATACCCCCGAGATAATCCACATTGGCCTTTCCTGGATCTTGGTTTCAGGCATCTGTGCTGGCCACAGCTTTCCTCTGAGTTGGCTAGGGAAATCAGTGTGTGCACTCTTGCTTGCCCTCTTGGTCTAACCCTGCAGAAGATAGTAAAGAATCCCCAAGGCAAGAAAGAATAAACCACTAAACCTTCACTCCTCAATTCTGGGAGATTCTAACTGCTATGACAGTTACAATCCTCCTAAATTCCTTTTGAGGTATAAGCAATTTGATCTCTAGATCACAGGAATGCTCATCAAGCAGCAATCCCATTTTAAATTCTAGCTTAAATATGAGCTTCTTTCTTCCAACTGAAGGGGTAGCAGGCAATAGGAGAAACATGAGCCAGAACTTGCCACACAGTTTGGCATCTACTTCCATTAACACAGGCCCTATCTGTGTTTTCCTCCTCTGGTTACATTGAAATGTCTGGCTGACATGAGCCATCCGTGTTCTGCATTGCTGCCTGCATTTTTAATGCGGTCTGACAATCGTACTCTGCATCAAACATCCCAGTCTTCTCTGAAAACCACTCTAAAAACAAACAAATAAGGGACTCTCTCATGACCTCTACTGCTCAGTGGCTGGAGAAATCCGGTGGTGGCTGGTTAATAGATGACCAGAGGGTAGGAGAGAACCAGACAGGACACAGATCACTGCACACCAGACAGCCATTGTCAGAAATGCAGGACTACAGGGATCAGTGCTGCCAGCCAGAAAGAAAGACAAAATTTTTGACTTGTGGAAAAACTGCCTTTGGGGCAGCTAGATTGCTGGTTGCCCAACAGAAAAATGTACCAGAAGCCTTTGCTCTCAGGTGGAGCTCCAAGCAGCATGCAGATGTTCCCCAGCTGCTGCTCAGACCCACACCAGCTTTCTTTCCTTTGGGTTTTGGAACACTCCTGAGGAACATAAGAGCTCCAGACTGGAACTGAGCATGAATATGAGTGTCCCAGCCTCAAAATCTGGAGGTCTGTGCCACGTGTTTGGAAGAGACATGTCCCTGTGACACAGATTATGGATTTGCACAACCTGTTAGTTCAGCCTTAGAGCACTAGGCACCCAAGCACTGGCAGGGTAGCAAAAGCCTCACAATCTGGCCCCACCAACCTCTGCGGTCTCTTCTCTTGCTGGAGTGTCCTTTGCTCTAGTCAGGCCGAACCACGTGCAATTCCTGGAATTTTGCGTTTCAACAACTTTGCCCACGATATTCCTTCAGATGGGGAGGCTCTTCCACCTGACCTATGCTAGGCCTGGGCTCAGCTTCCTCTCTTTCGTAAGGCTTTCCCCAACCCCTCCCCCCAGAAGAGGCACGTGTTGGCACCCATGTACTGGACACCTCTTGTTCCTTGTCTGTTCCTCTTTCTTAGTCCTTCACATACTGGATCTAATTTATCCGCTTATTTTCTAACTCCTTCACTAGATCGTGAGCTGCCTGAAGGTACAGGCCATGTCTTCACTGTCTCTCTGAACACCTACCACACAGCACATGATCTGACATACTGTAGATTTTATTATTTATCCCACAGCTAAATTGCCTCTATTTGCCTTTTTTTTTACAGTTTTATTGATGTACAACTGACATAATAAAGTGTGCATATTTTTTTAAATATTTATTTATTTTTGAGAGAGAGAGACAGAGCATGAGCAAGCAAGGAAGGACAGAGAGAGAGGGAGACACAGAATCTGAAGCAGGTTCCAGGCTCTCTCTCGGCTGACAGCACAGAGCCCAATGTGGAGCTCGAACTCATGAATCATGAGATCATGATCTGAGTCAAAATAGGACTCAACCTACTGAGCCACCCAGGCACCCCTAAACTGTACATATTTAATGTGTACTATCTGTATGTACCTGTGAAAACATCACCACAATCAAGATTATGGACCCAAAAGTTTCCTCTTGTCCGTCTTCATCGTAGATAGCCTTTTCCTCCCCTCCTTGTCCCTTTCCCCACTCATCCACAGGCAGCTGCTGCTGTCACTACAGTTTGTATTTTCTGTTTTCTTTTTTTTTTTAATTTTTTTTTTCCAACGTTTATTTATTTTTGGGACAGAGAGAGACAGAGCATGAACGGGGGAGGGGCAGAGAGAGAGGGAGACACAGAATGGGAAACAGGCTCCAGGCTCTGAGCCATCAGCCCAGAGCCCGACGCGGGGCTCGAACTCACGGACCGCGAGATCGTGACCTGGCTGAAGTCGGACGCTTAACCGACTGCGCCACCCAGGCGCCCCGATATTTTCTGTTTTCTTATAAATGAAAATCACACCCTATGTAGGGTTTTTTGGTCTGGCTTCTCTCATGCAGCGTAATTCTTTTAAGATTCATCCATGTTGTTGCATTTTATCAAAAGATGCTTCCCTTTTTATTGCTGAGTTATTCCATTCTATGGATTTATAAAATTCCTTTATATTTGGTTTTGATAAAGGATTTAGACTAGTCCACCTCCAAGTCCCCTCCCAGCTCCAAAATTATACTTCGTATGATTCCATGGTTCTAAGTTATGGATAATCAGGAGAATCATCCTCTAAGAAACATTTGTTATGAACTTCAAGTTCAGTGCTTAGAAAAATGGGGCTATGGGAAAACAAATGCTAGAAGAAAGCAGACAGGAAAATGAAAACACAAAGCAACACAGCTCCACCATCTGTAACCAGGCAGATGGATTTGTTTATCAAAGAAATCTGTTTATCAAATTTATCAAATTTGTTTATCAAAGAAATATAGATTATCTACTATGTCTAGGCATAGGCAGGAATGCAGGGAGAGAGGCAGCATTGTAAGACTTTCCAGGGTAGTAGTATTCCCAGAACATATACAAGACAATCAGGGTAAGGAAAAAACACTGAATTTTTAAACTATTTTTATCTCTAAAAACAAACAAACAAACAAACAAACAAAACCAGAGTTTCAACAAACAGCCATAGAGATTGCCACTGGGATCTTCCCTGGGCTAGTATGTGCCATCTGTGTACAGAAATCTACAAGGAGGTGTGGGGCTCTCATTGAATGTGTGTGTGGCACTGACAATGGTACCCTTCAGCCTGTGCTTTTAGCATATTGTGAATACTGTTGTTTCTGTGCAATAGGATGACAATAGTGAGACTTAGCTTGTAAAAACAGGATATTTGAACAGTAGGATCCTTGCAGTTTTTTTTGTAATAGGATAGAGCACCACAAAGAGGTTCACGCTTATATCAAAGTACTTAAAAATGTAAAGATAAGTTATGCGTTTTTCTTTTGCAAAAAGATAAGCATTCCAAGCTGGGCTTTGCAGTAAAAAGTAGCTGCCAGTAGTACGGTACTCTGCAATATTTTCCAAAGAATAAATTCGCTAAATCTGCCCCTTCAAAGTAAAGGTGACATTTTAACAGGGAATGGGAATGTAACTTGTTTTCAAAGGGAATTTGTGCTATGGAGAGAAATGGTATTTGGCAATGTTTTCATTTAATATGCTCTTTGTAGTTGAGAATTGATATGACTATACAAAAATTGATTCAAAACGAATGATATTGAGAAGAAAATGCAGGTGGAAATCTTTGTGTTAGAAAAGATGCTACCCCAGAAACAATTTATAAAAGAAAAAGACTGCTAAACGAACTTCCTCAAAATTTTTAAACTTTTACTCTGAAAAATAGTTAAAGAGGAAAAGTTAAGCCATAGACTGGGAGAAAATATCCGGAAATCACATATATGACAAAGCGTTTGTATCTGAAATATATAAAGAACTCTTAAAACTCAACAATAAGAAAGAAAAAAAACCCAATTTTTAAAATGAGCAAAAGAGACATGGCTGGCTCACTTGGTTAAGTGTCCAACTTGGACTCAGGTCATGATCTCACAGTTAGTGAGTTCAAGCTCTTTGTCGGGCTCTGTGCTGACAGCTCAGAGACTAGAGCTTGCTTCAGATCCTGTGTCTCCCTCACTCTCTGCCCCTCCCCCGCTCATGCTCTGTTTCTCTCTCTCTCTCTCTCTCTCTGTCTCTCAAAAATGAATGTTAATTTTTTTTTTTTGTTTTTTTAATGAGCAAAAGAAACTCTCTGCTTCTCCCCATTTGACAGACATTGGCATCTTCTGGTACAGTGCCAGCAACATTCGAGACAGGATGGTGAAGGCTGGAATACATAGATTTGGCCATATTGGGTGCCTGGTCACCAGGGCTGCTTTTACCTCTGGCAAAGTGGATACTGTCACCATCAATGCCCCTTTCATTGATCTTGACTACATGGTCTACATGTTCTAGTATGATTCCACCCATGGCAAATTCCCTGGCACAGTCAAAGCTGAGAATAGGAAACTTGTCATGAATGGAAAGCCCATCTCCATCTTCCAGGAGCAAGACCCAGCCAGTATCAAATATGGTGATGCTGATGCTGAGTATGTTGTGGAGTCCACTGGGGTCTTCACCACCATGAAGAAGGCTGGGGCCAAGAGGGTCATCATCTCTGCCCCTTCTGCTAATGCCCCATGTCTGATGGATATGAACCATAAGAAGTATGACAACTCCCTCAACTTTGTCAGCAATGCCCCCTGCACCACCAAAGGCTTGGCCCCTCTGGCCAAGGTCATCCATGACAACTTTGGCATTGTGGAGGGACTCATGACCAGTCCATGCCATCACTTCCAACCAGAAAACTATGGACAGCCCCTCTGGGAAGCAGTGGC